TAAACTTATTCATTTCTTAGCCAGAAACGGATGATTATAAAAAATATGTAAAATACGTGCATTCAACGTTTAAATTCGGCAAATTTGGAAGTACAAGCCAAAAGGATGTTTTGAAAAAATATAAAGGGTATATATATATTCCTGTTCATTTAGTGAAGAAACAAGCTTTAAGTAATGGCCAATATGCTTATAACAGATTAGCCGAAAAATTTCGGATACACGCACAAGGAACCAAAGCAGAATTTTTAGAAAAATATGTTTCTTCGCTTATGCAACGTCCGACGGTAGAAGGGTCGATTCAAGTAAGTTTAAATTTTAATATCACACCAAATACTTAAATATATATATATATATATATATATATATTTTTAATTCAATAACATTTTTCATTTTAGCTTCATACGCGCTACGATATGCTTTGTTTACTTTTAAATTTATCGGATTCTCCACTCTCCACTAAATATAACCCAACTATTAAAGTAAAAAAGCCTGATCAACCGCGTTTTAAAGTATCTGATATACTTAACGAAGAACCGCTGACAGGCCCACATTGGATAATTAAAACGGATTACAATGAAGATGATGATGATGACGATGGTGATTGGGATTTTGACGTGCAAGAGTGGATCAGAGCAAGATTAGGCGACAATTTTCAAAATGGCCGAAATAAAAATGTAAGTAATCGTCGCTTTCAATCATATTTTCTATTTTTTTATTTATTTATTATTATTATTATTTCTACTTTTTACTTATTTTCAAATAAATTGCGATGTATATAGCTGATTCCTGAGGCATCACATAATGTGGTACAAAAAGACGATGTGGAAGAAATACCAGATCAGGACTTAAATTATGAAATTGTTCAGGAATTTTTATCTAACCAATATTGGAGGCCAAATTACCGCAATCAATCGCATTTATTCGGTATGTCATTGAAACCTTAGTTGGTACTTATATAATTTATCGAATTTCATTATGTATACAATTCAATAGATTCCAAGTTTGATGCGAATGATGCATGTACTTTTGGTAATGTATTCTAAACATTGTTTATTTGATATTCAAGTTTGTTTTCGCCGCATATACTTATCTCTTTTTTCACCTTTGTGTTTTCATCATGAAAAGCACCGTCACTCGCGCAATACCGTAGTCAAGATAAAAGATATCTTTTTTATGATCCAACCAGACTAAAATACATCACAGAGCTTGATGCTATACGTGAGATTTTGTTCATGTTATCTGGACGTCCGAGCTTTCTTTTTTGCAAAGATACAAATGGAAAATTCCAGGTATGAATTTTTAATTATCTCGTAAATGCCAATTTGCCAGTTCATCAATTTGTATATATTATTGTTCATTTGTTAACATAGGTCCAGCTTAATGCAATACTAATGCATTTAACTGAAGGTGGATTTAAAGCCTTGTTAGAATATTTTTGTGAACATGGGAATTTTTTGGCCAAGTTGAGAATAGTTGCCACTAGGTATTGCGATCTTTTTTAGAAATAACAATTAAGTTAAAGATTAATAATATTGTTAATTCAAACAGGATATGTACAGAATCTCGTCCAACTTATGGACAAACTGCCCAGGCTTTTGCTGCATCCATCCTCAAGATGGTTTGGAAATTTGACACATTATTGGCTGATATCGATATAGCAATTGAGGTATTATACGTGGATGGCAATCATGTGACTTTTAGCCAGTCATATTTTAAAAAAACATGAAAATCAAAATAAACTAGAAATTGATTCCGAATTTCACGTTACACTTAATCACACTTAATCTAAACTCATGTGATTGACTTCTTCATTTGTGTCCTAGCGTTAGAATAATTATTAAAAAATGAACATTTTACCACATAAGAGGTTTGTAAACATTTCGTATTTGAAGTATTTCTATTAGCAAATTTACTGAAATTTTGAAATTTCTAGTTATCACGTTTACAACCTCAAGAATCGAGAGCGTGTTCGTAAAGACGAAGAGAAAGCTCGACAGGAGGAAGAAGCAAAGGCTCAAAGAAAAGAGATTTCGGTATGTAAGTTGATGTCAAGATAACATCTATAGTAGTATCAATATAAAAACACATATTTTATAGGAACGTGAGCGTCGTCTTCAAATTCTTCGAGAAAATGCTCGCGCAAGGCAACAGGGATTATTAGAGGCACCAAAGGAGCAAGCTTCTGAGCAGCTAGTAACGACAAATCAAAAATTAGCAATACAAAGTTCGGCCGACACCACTGGCGGCCATATCAATTTCTGGAGTGACATAGAAAAGGTAGAATAGTCTATATATATGTTCGTTATTATGTTCTATAAATCATTTCTTAAAACATATCCCATTAATTTTTATAAAGGAATATGCTCGCAAAGTTTCAACCAACCCAGAATATGAGGCTGAAAAAAGGGCAAAAGAACAAAAATTGGAGAGGCAGTATACGATGTATCTTGATGAAGTTTTAAAAGGTATGCTAAATTAATGTTAATGTTTTAAGTTATTATTTTATTGATTGTCTTTCAAATGATAGATCCAAAACCATGGTACCTTAAGAGTAATAAAAATATCGGTGGTAGTAGTAGCAACAACGGAGAAGAAAAATATTCTATAGATGGAAAAATTAAAAGGTACTGTAGTCGAGCCAAATTATGTTGATAAGTCTTTTATTTCAAATGTAAAATTTCAGGATACAACTTTATTGCTTCCAGAAACAAAGAAATGGGAATTAAATCTGCTGACGATCCACTGCACATGATGAAAATAAATTTAGATAAAATGTCAAAGAAAAAAAAATATAATACTGTATCTGATCATCGACAAAAGGTAATTCTTATACAGAGTATCATATTAGGATGAGTTATTAACATCACTTTTCTATACTTAAGCATACGAAGGAAATTCAATCTGATTCACCTCCCTTACCAACAATTGATAGACTACGTGAGGAACGTCTTAAGAGGGAGCGTGATGAAAGATTACGTACTCTTAAACTTCTCAACCCTCACATGATAAATGAGCAAGAATCCAAAGGTCGATACTTTTCACAATTTAATCCAGAAGCTACGAGCGCGGCACATAAAGTATCTGAACGGGAAAGCACGTATTCTCGTAGCGATCGCTCTCGTTCATGGAGACATAAACCATATTAAATGTCGTTAATAAGAAATGCGGTGTTCTTGAAAACTTAATTTATCTAATTGTATAGTACAACAGTAAATTTCTGGAAATCGATAAAAAATTTATGTAATATTGATAAATTTGATGAATCAATGACGCCATTTTTTTCATTATTTAAATTTTGAGAATGTGAAGTATTTATATACCACAAGGCCATTTTAAATTACCAATTCAAGTTACTAGACCTATATTTATAAGAAATTATTACTAGAATAATAGTCATGTTTATGCTCATATTCATGCGTAAAAAAATTTTTAGAAGACAAAAACTAATTTTATATACTATTTGGTTTTTAAAATTTTGTTTTTGGGGGTGTTTATTAATTTACTTTTTTGATATTTAATAAGTTTTTATTGGATTGAAAAATAATAATTAATAGTTATCAAAAATTAAAATAGAAAGTTAAAAAATAATTTAATAATCATTTTTTTTTTTTTTTATAATCAAAGCTAGTCTTTTTGGTTTAATGTGTTTATTAGATATACTAGGGATCACTGGTTGTCACAGAAGGGCCCCAGACATAGTATATTTCGATAAGGATATATATGAACACATATAAACCTTAGTTATTGCCTATTTAAGAGCTTTACTATATTACTATAGTTACTCTTCATATGCTATACCTAAGATCTACTTGTAGATTTTTTATTTAAACCCTTAGATCTAAACTATCCTATGTTAATCCAATCTAATCTCACTTAGAATATGAGATATATTAGTTATTCTATGTCTTTTAGATCATTATAGACTAATTTTCTTTGAGGCATCACTTGTTAGAGTAGTCTAGTATTTATTATTACTATAATATCTAGTTTTTCAGTAACTTATACTGAGTCTAAGAACAAGTACTTGTAAGCTGAGATTGCTACTATTATCTACTTAGCTCTTGTAGAGTTTATCTAAATCTTGATAATTCCCTTTCAAAACAACCTAATACTATTCTCTTTTTAGTATCTCTAGCCAGTCTTTTCAAACTACCAATTCAGATGGCCTAGAAGGAATACCAGTTCTTTGGTATATGTTAATCTTTTTCTTCTAATTGATACTTCAGTGGCCTGGTTGGTGAAGCAACTTGCCAGTGCTCTTGTTTCATCTAGTTAACTAGCTTCAGATAAAGCCTATTCTAGTAATCATTGTTGAAAGTTTGTACTATCTCTCTACTTGGGTCTTGCTAAGCAGACATCCATCTTTTTAGTTCCTTGATATTATATAATTATATAACTTATATATTACATAATCTCTTAATCTTGTTAGTACTACCAAAGTTATAGAAATCCTGTTTCAAGCAATTATTGAAAGATAGTAGTTATCGTACAAGTAGAATTTTTGAATTTTCATCATTAGTGGGTTTCAAACCCCAACTTGCCAACATAATTACTTTTAAATTTATTTTTGATTACTAAGCTAATATAATTTAAAATACAACAGATTATAAAATATTAAAAAGTTTGATTAATTTTAAAAATTAAGTTTGTATAAAAGTCTAGTTTAAAGCCAAGTTTAGAACTTGATTTATATACATTTTAATAATAAAAACATATTATTAAATATTATATTATAAAATTATACTAAATAACAATCAATATTTGTTATAAATTATAATAAAATTAGATTAAAATAAAATTAGAGATTTTAAAAAAATTCAATACAACTCTTTTTGATGATCCTTTGATCAACAACAACAAAACTAAATGTGTATAAGAAAATAACTAAGTAGATATTATTCTTGGTTCTATATTAAATAAGATATTGTCAACAAAGTCTAAATCAAATATAATATACTAAGAAGTGAGTATTTTATTTGTACTGTATATATCAATTTAAATATAACTATTAACCAACCAATCTATATTCTATATTTATATATAATATTAAAGTATATAACTTTAAATAAATTAATCAATTTGTAATTATAGGTTATTATAACTGTAACTAAGATCAGATATAATATGACTATTAAAACAAATTTTTTATAAAAATAAAACTTTATGATTAAGGTCAGAGTTAGAGTTAGAATAAGGCTTGAGTTAGAGAAGACATAGTTTAAATTAAAATTTAGCAAAGGATTTTTTTTGTTAAAATATAAAAGATGGTTTTATAGTTAAAATTTTGAGTTATTAATGATTTTTTTAAAAGAAAAGTTTTTGTTTTGATTTACATTACACCTAATCTTAGTAATAGTTACAGTAACTATAGTTACAAATTTATTAACTTACTTTAAATTATTTTTAAATTATTTTATATAGTGACTATTATTAATATTTGAATAAAGTAAATAATTTTTAAAATTAGTATCTTTAGTAGAAAAACAATAATTTGACAAAGTGAATTATTATTAAACTTAGTACTTTTGGTAAAAAATATTAAATTATTATATTTTTAAAAAGTATATTAAACTGTATAAATTAAATACCTGGATAATATATTTAAATTAGCTTATTAGACAATATTCTATAAATCTTATATAAATCTAACTAAAAAAAGCCAGAAATAGGCTTTTGATTATTTTTAATACTAGATATTATTTTTAACAAATTAAATAAATCATATCTAATACCAAAGATAATTAAAGTCTGATTTCTGGTTTTTCCTTGATAATACTCATATTTAAAGTAAAATTAATGCAATTAGCTAAAAGCAAGCCAATTTTTATAAATAATAAATAAAAGCAAGTTACAATACAAAGTATCTAAATTAATTTTTATAAATAATAAATAAAAGACAAGTTAATTAGCACTTATTACAACTCTTAGAATTGTATTTAGATTCATTACATACTTGACAAATATATTTGTACTTAACTTTATTATTATTTGTTTGCAATATAATTAGTAAAGATTTAGTTAAAAGATCTTTATTCATCTTATACAACTCTTTAATATTTATAGGTTTAAAAAGATTTTTAATGTAAATATATTACTTGATTGCTCAGTTAATTGTATATATAAATTAAGATCAGATAAATTAAGCATACTATTGTTGGTTCTACTATGTTGTATATTGCTTTTTAAGAATATTTTAATTTGTTTATTTGATAGATATTTATAAATACTTACTAACTATAGAATCTGATATATGTATCTATATATTGTCTTTATTTATTCCTTCAATACTGTATTTCTTATAATTAATAAATTCATTAATCATATTAATAAATTTATTTTTATATCTTTAATCAAGAGCCATATTAAGTATTTTTTTAACTTTTCTGAAACCAAGTGAATATTTAACTTTTTTAAAACATATTATTGTATATTAGCTATAAATATATATGGTACTTTAATTTAATTAAAAATATAAATTATTTACAATACAACTATTATTATCAACTTGTTGAAATTATATAATTACTTCTACTGATTCTTCTTGCAAATTTGAATAAATATTATAATACTGAAAAGTTTCTATATACTATTATTTAGAAATAAAGTTGATATTAAATTTTATAGTTTTTAAATTTATTATCATATGAAAATAAATAAGAACATACAATTTTATAATTAATAACTGCCAAACAAGTATATAAGTAGCCTCTATTAACTAATAAACAATATAATGTTTATATATTTGTGTAAACCTAATTAATTTCTATATCTTAATAATATTACTAGATGTACTTTATCTAATAAATAAAAGAGAGTTGCCTGTAGTTTGTCAGATTGGTTTTTAAGAAATCTTTTATTATAATTAATATCTTCATCATTTTAAATATTATAACAATAAAATTTTGTAATTGTAGTTAGCAATCAGTAAAATTAAGCTAGTTATATTATTACTAATCAATCTAATAATACTATTGATCAATTTATAATACTGTTTATTATAAGAAAATACAGTATAATTAATTTTACTTTTATTATAATAATATTTGTAAGCTAATTAAATTCTAATATATTTATATTATTAAATTATTCTATTATTTAAATAAGTTTATTAATCTAAACAATAAATATATTTGTGTATTTTTTATAATATTTTTAGAAACTAGTATTAAATGATATAATAGAACCCCAAAAATTTGTTGTTACTAAACAAATAGAATATAAGGAGTCAAATATTGTTTCATTAAATCAAACACTTTAAAAAAGATTAGTTTTATAATTGAAAATGCTTTATTTATTAGAAAACTTTAGAAATAGTTATTATATTAGACCTATTGGGCTTTATTATTTAATAAACTTTAAATATGATTATACAATATATATAACAAAGATGTTCTATTTGTTTCTTCTTTTATTAACTTGTTTATTACTTTAACTCTTTATATAATAATTTTTTCTAATTTATTTTATAAATTTCTCTTTAAATTTCTTGTATATAGAATATATAAAGGAAATGATAGATACTAGATATTTTTGATACTATTGTATTTATTAGTACAGGATCAGAGTCTAAAAACAAACAAATCAGTAATATATTATTATTTACTTGAAGAATTCAAAAAACTATTTATAGTTTAGACTATTTTATCCTCAGACAAATACTAAGCAACTAATTGACCCTTTATATTATTGTCTATAATAACTAAAAGAATTAAATATATATTAAACTAATTAGTATAACTTGTATTGTTTGTTTGAACTACATTATTATATTGCAAGAGATATTGGTATTAAAGAGAAGATATCCAGAATAATCTAACAAGTTTATTATCAAAAAAATTAATTTTTGTATAAATTATCTAACCTTTTTTCTCATTTTTTAACTAGAAAAATTTGTTCATTATGTTTTAAGCATCACTGTATCAGCTTGTAAAAAATGGTTTAACCTTTTTTATAATATTATAAATATCCTTTTTTAATATAAAATAGTTTAAAAATTTAGTAACCAATAAAGGGTATATCTGTTTTGCTTTCATGTTATCTTTGATAATATAGAATTTGATATTCTCTATTATACTATCTTTTAATTTTTAGTATTTAGAAGTATATAATTTTATATTACATACAGGGTTGTCACATTTATATGTTT